TCAATAAAAACTTGCTAAAAAACAAAAATTAAGTAAAAAAAAAAACACAAAAAAAATTGACTTTATCTATGATTTTGCTAAATTTAGTAAACAATTTTTGTATAACTTTAAATTTTCAATGTTTTTCTATTATTAGTGAAAAATATATTAATAATAAAGAGAAATTAATTTTTTCTATCTAATGACTGATGCTAATACTATTTTTAATGAGAATTTAATTTTAGTTTTGGAAAATGATGAACTTAGCATTATTATCAATCATTAGACATCTTTCTATCCTACTAATGTATTTTTTTCTCAAGTATTTGATTCGTGTATAAATTTCATGACGTGAAGATATTTCTTATTTATATAAAACACTTTTTTTTTCCTGTTTTTCATACGCTTGATTTTCTCCATGAAAGAAATTCAAGAATTATAAATGTATACACATGTGTATTCGATATAAAGTCAAATCTCCCACTGTGACCACTTTCTGATAGTGACTACTCTGTGATTCGATAGAACGATTTTTGTTAAAATAGAACATCTCGTATATAATTTCCTGCATATTCTGACCACTGACTGCTTTTTTTTCAGTCTCAGAAACATAAGAAAACCTCTCTCTATTGTGATCAGTTGATCTAACGAGAGTCAAAATTAATAGGCATACATCTTTACTCAAAAGTTCTTGTAAAAAAAAAGAATAAAGAATCATTTCACCCCTAAAATAAATTCATTTTTTTCACTAGTCAATAAAAAAAAAAAAGAAAAAAATAACAAAATTAAAAAAAATTGAAATGAAGTGATTAAAGAGTAACAGATATGATCATGAGTCTTATTTAAAATACAGTTAAAAAAAAAAACCTTTCTTATTTCAAAGAAAAGAATGAAAACAATATTTAAAATATGATGATCATTCATGTAAACTGATTACTTTTGAGAAAGTGTCAAGATTGATCGCATTAGAGAGATTTTACTGTAACAATGTTGTCGGAAAACGAAAGAATCACTGCAGTATATAAACTCTTTTCTTAACGTAGTGTAAAGATTATATATCCAAGTTCAAGTAAACATGGTGAAATAGATAATTAGCTAAAGCTTCTAAAAAGGTAAATCGATTAAAAAGAAAATTTTAGCTCTTTCTTGTTATCAAATTTTGCACTTTCTTTTCAAAAAGATCGAGAAAATATGAGTCTATTGGCTTGAACAATATTCCTAAATAGAATCCACAAACTTACATTTGTCAAAAATTTGAAATAACTTTTGAAATGATGTATAAAGTTATGTTTTAAAGGTAAAATATAGAAGAATAATTTCAGTAAAAAGAGCAAGTAAGAATTGTACATTTTAACTTCTTTTAATTTGAGTTATTGTTCATATGAGTAAATTATCTTTTATATATGCCCCATACGCGTTGAAAATATTGTTTTTTTCCAGTTTTTACGTATATAATGATATTTAGAAATAAAATCAAGATGTACAGTGGGTATCATGAATGTTTGTATGATAATAAAGAAAATATTCTTTTATAATCTTTTATAATCCTTGATGTAAGAGTAGAAAATCCAAAAAATCCAAGCCACAAAAGCGGATCGAGGATCCATATACATGTGGTTATCGTAAAAAAAAGAAAACAAACATTTGACTGTTACAGATTCGCTAACCCATACTAAATAGTACAAGAGGAAAAATAAGCGAAGAAGCGAGAAAATATTATGAATAAGTATATAAGTAAGCATAAAATGTGATAGTTGTGTAGTATGTTGGTGCTACAGACGTGTAATCGCTCCTTTTTAATTTGTTTTTTTTCTTGTATCTCAAAATTTCTATTCTCAAATTTGTTTTCACAATAAGAGAATTGGAAAACGATAAAATTCTGAACAAAGCTTTCTACAACTAAGCTATATACTATTCTTTTTCGAGAGTGTTTAAAAGCGTCACAATTAGCAAACAAATGATGAAAATTATCACGTTCAAAAACGAATGACAAAAGAATGTTTTCTTTCTTGTTATAATAATAATAACTTAGATGAAAAGGACGGTTAATGGTTTCTATTAGAAGACAAATCCCAACAAATTCTTATGTAGACAAAAAAGATTAAACAAGGCCTGGAAAAATATTTAAAAGAGAACGGCTTTCCACTTTTCGGAGAATGGTTCACATTTTTTAGAGAACGGATATTTTTTATAACCGACAAGAGAACGGTTAACATTGTTTGGAGAACGGTTTATGAATTTTTTTGACGAAAGTAAAAATAAAGCATGTAGTATGAACTACAATAACTAGAGAGAAGTTAGATCTAAACCTACATCACATGATGAATAATATGACCGTAGAACATACTCGCAATGGATTTTATCATCTTTCAATAAAACATAAGTATAAATACGTTGTCAACAAGGGCGATTTTAAAATTCAACACAGTCTAAAGTTATGCCCAGACACGATTAGAAAGTAATATATAAAAATTATACAAATTGAAAAATCGTTCTCTTTTAAATTCTTGTCTGCAAAGATTCTTCGTCGCATTCTTTAAAGTGCTATTTTCTGAAGAGTACGTAAAATATATTTCGGTCTCTCAATTTACTCGTTGAGTGTTTAATTAAGTTATTTCATTGTTTGTTTTATTGTTCATGTTATTTTATTGTTTTTTTTAAGTTAAAGGTATTGAATAAAACTTACAATTGACTATGGCATTTTTAATGCCGATGTAACTTATATGTTGTTATAATCACAAAAAGCTTCATTTCGATGACTAACCTACGGTACATAAGTAATGAGATTCAATTCATTATCAAGGTGAGACGTTTTTCATCAGAATGAGTTAGAGACTTTATTCTTTCGTCATTAGAAAGAGCTAAATCTCAGCTTCAAAATGCATGTTTTGGAAAAACATTTTGATAAAGTTAAGTTAAGAACCGCCAAAAACGACTTGTAACATTTCAACCCTTTTTCGCGCTTTTCTTCTTTAAAACTACCGTATTACCATCATACAACGAGGTAAAGAGCTGAAAGTTTCAGAGAATATAGAGCAAAGTGACAAGACCTGTTGGACTGGTCGTATCTTGCACCTGACTCCGACTTCCAGAAACTTAGCGCAGATCCAGCGAGTCTAACTTACTTAAAATTGTCTTGTAACAAGCCGTTTTTGACGATTCTTTTAAAATTTAAATTTAATTAACTTAACTTTATCAAAATGCTTCTCCAAAACATGCATTTTGAAGCTGACACTTCGCTCTTTCTAATGACGAAAGAATAAAGTATCTAACTCATTCTGATGAAAATGGCTCATCTTGACATTTGTCTCATTACTTATATACCGTAGGTTATTGCATGCGTAACATCTTACAATTGATGATGAATGAAGTATTGAAAAACTTTATTGAACTATACTTGACATAACCAACATTTTCTGAAAGGTTGTATGAGATCATTTTTACTGGAATGGAGATAGTTCTTTGAAATTAGAAATGTAAGAGTTCAATGACTAAACTGTTAAGATTTTTACATGAAGCAAAATTGATTACTTGTCATCAAAATACGCATATTCTATTTCGTATCGAATCAGAGGTGAACGTAACGATCTTCTCGCCAGTGCAGGACAGTTATAGAAAACTTTTTAACAAGACGAACGGAACAAAGTCACACAAAACGGTTTCCTATAAACACTGTTTTATGGTGTATTGCGATAGAGAACAAAATTTTATCAAATTTTCTTTCATTCTATTTGAATTAGTCAGATAATAAATAAGTCTTGAGCAATGTCTGTTACGATATCAATTGATAATCAAATCGATTCAAATATTTCTATTATTTCTCCTCTTTCTAGTTAAAAATCAAATACTTGTAGATTAATCCAACAAAAATTTAAAAACCAGATATATCAATATAAAGTAGTTAATAATCTGTTTAAATTAGAATCTAAAATATGTGATCATTTTAGATTGTAACAACAAATGATAGCAGTGTAACGCGCTACAAATAACGCTCTACATTTTTTTATTGCATCCCGCAGTTTTAAAGTGCGAACTGCTCTCTTTTGTTAATTGTTATACAAAAGTATCTGAGTACAAAAATATCTGAAATAATTTTATTAACGTCAGATGGTGAAGAATTTAATGCTTTACAGATTATTCTTACCCGTCAATAAACGTAACTTTACAGAATAGTTTACTTAAAGTTAATTTATTTCAATTGTTAGTGTCTCTATTAGATAAACTTCCAGATCCACCGAAGTTTCTATCACTAAAAAAACGTTTTGACTATTTCAGTATAAAATCCAAAGATCAAATCATAAATTTATAGACCAAAAAATGCAGAATTTCGCGCTCTATTAGACTATTTAACTTACAAATAAAAATGCTACTTGTTTTACCTGAAAAACTAGGAAATACTAGATGTCGTTAAGATGGCCGAAAAATAGGAGAAAATGATCTTTTTCGCTCCGATTTCATCTAAAAAATCATTATTTCTCATTAAAAAAAAACATTATATTGTAGAAAATTTCTTGCTGAATTTTTCAGTATACCTTGTGTAGCGCGATTTTGTGGAAAAAATGGATCTTTTTGAAGGTGCAATGAAAATATTTGAAGCTTTTCTTGTTAGAGTTACTGCGCTCAAACATCAAAATGAATTTGAAAAATAAATATACAATTTTGTAGAGAATTAAATTCTCTATCATTTGGTATATACAGGAAACTTTTTTTATAAATAGAAAGTGATAGAAAAATGCATTAACATTGAGTGCAATTTATTATGGGCCACCCGTTATTAGAGGTAGGAAATCGATGAATGGCCCAGAAAAGATCTCTTTCATCAATAACTACATGAGTTCATTATTATATCGATTCTTTCCTTCAAGTATGAGAAAGAAAAACCTTTTAACTGAGACGGAACGGGCGGAAAAGGTTTGAACCTCACGAGATAGAATTTCCAAAGATTTCATCTCGTCTAGCTCTGATAAGAATCTAAGAATAATTTTTGCAGTCTCTTTAATGAGAATATTGTCTACTCCTTATTATAATTTATTTAATTGCAATGTTAGATGATACAGAAAAAGTCCTAGAGCAACGGAGACATTAAGTGAGGTAATTAAACTTTTTGCATGTGGAGAGATTTTATATTGATAATGACAATAGGATGCTAAATCAGACGAGATACCACGATGTTCATTACCAACAATTAAAAGTATTCTCGTTATACTACCATGATCTGTCTTTATTTTATCTATAGAAAATTTTTGTAAATTCATTTCACTTCGATTATTCGCCGAGATAATAATCGTTTTTTTACTATTTATTAAGGTTTTTAAATATGTGTCAATATTTTCGCATAAATATATAGTCATTGTCTCTAATGTACCTGAACTTGCTTTACTTGCAATAGGTGATGGTTGACAAGTATTTTTAGACAATATTAAACGATCAATACCAAAAAAATGTGCACTTCTAACTATAGCACCCAAATTCATTGGATCGATAATCTGATACAGTAATAAATCAAGTTTAATTAAATTTGAAGTGTTCTGTTCATCATTCATTTCATTGATTGACGAAACAGGTAAAGATGAACAATCTAAACACACACCTTGATGCGGTCTATCAAATGACAATTGATCAAGTTCTAAAGGTGAGATATTTTCGGTAATAATTGATAAATCTTTAGCCATACTAATAATATCCGTTGTTAATGGCCGTTCTTGATCAAAATTTTTATTTAGATAAAGTTTATAAAATTGTCGTCGTTTCATTTTCAATGCTAAATAAACTGGATGAATACCAAATAAACATTGACCACGTAAACGAGTAAACAATGGTTGTTTATCAATCGTTCGATTATATTTTTGTTGACGATTTTTTTCACTAATGGGACTAGTAAAATCCAATTGAGGAAAGTCTAAATGACTACATCGATATATGATTCTCATTGATTGCACACAACGACGAACGAGACTAGATAATATAGAGCTCTCTAACATCTAAAAGACAGCGATTCATTTTTTATTTAATTTATGAGTTTTACAATTACTTGTCATCCGACAATAAATATCTTTCACGATTAATCAATCAACGAATAAATTAGTGCTAAACTCAAATATACATAAAAAACTTTCTTATTATCCATACCATATAGATTATTCAAAACATTGATGCAAATTGGTTTTTAAAAACCAACAATTTGAGCTTGACAATGGTTTTCTTTCAATATGTGACGTGATTTAACTTATAAAAAAGAAAATCACACAAGTCATTCCCATATATGTTCTCGATTAATTTTCTCATTTTTATTTAGGATAGAAATATTGAACTTATAAAAAAATACACTACATACACAAGACTATTGAAAAAAAAAATGTTTTAATTTAGAAAAAAACAACAACCAAAAGATCTGACAAGAGCATCATTTACAAAATATATAGTTTCATTGACATAGTACACTCCTCATTGAAATTTAATAATTCACTGGGATAAAGATAATCAAATATTCAAACAAAACAAAAATTGAAAAATCATAAACCACAAAAAAAGAAAACTGTTTAAGACACTGTAGAGGTTTGTCCACTAAATTATCAACTTTCACGCATCTAGAATGAAAAAATAAAGATGTATATCATAAAACTGCTTATTCTAAGCTTAAATCAGATCATAGAAAATTTTATATTTTTTCAATTTACCAGCTCTAACACGTGGATACGGTTTATTTAATAGATCACGTGCCAATGGTCGTTGATCTGGATCAGGTGTTAAACAATGTTGAATAAAATCTCTTGCTTCTGGAGGAAGGTCTTCCGGTATTGGTGGACCTTTCTTAGCCAACAATTGATTTTGAATATAAATTCTATCATCAGGAGGCCGTACAACAATTGTCCATGGAAGCTAGAATAAAGAAATAACCGATAAATAATCATTATTAATTGATAGACACTGATATCTCGATTACTTTTCCTGTTAACATCTCAATAATGGTACAACCAAGAGCCCATATATCACTTGCACAAACATATTCTGATTCAGGTGGTTTAAAGTCTAGAATGAAGAAACAACACAAAGGATACTAATCATCAATTAAAAAAATTTATAAAAGAAAACGCTTACAAAGTGTGCCAAATTGTGTACTGCGCGAATCGCCAGGAGTTGATGGCGATGGAAATTCAAGTTCTAAACGATGTGATAAATTGAAATCACCAAGTTTAACATGATATATTCCATTATCTAGTGCAATAAAAATATTGTCACCTGAAGAAGAAGAAAAAAAGAGACATTATTGGACGAACAAGAGCTATAACGATGTCTATTGAATCATTATCAAACATTTTTCATACAAACCTTTCACATCACAATGAACAATTTTCTTATCATGCAATGCTAGTAATGCATTTAATAGTTGTCTGGTAAATCCGCGTACAAGTTCATTTATATCAAATTGTGGTATTTGATCGATTGTTGTTGTATTTGTGTCATTATCACTATCTGAATCTTTATATCTGGCAGAAGTACGTCGTTGAAATGCTCGTATATCATTTAGAAATTCATTCACTGTCGATAAACAATATTCCATACATATATAAATTGTACGCTATAAAATAAAGAGAAATTCAATCTAAAATTTTTATAACACCATGGACTACCTTATATTTTTCTATTCCATAATATCGAACAATATTTGGATGATTGATGCCCATAATCATATCAATTTCCTCAGCAATTCGTCTCAATTTTTCTGGATATGTACTTGGTAAGGAACGCGAGGCAATACTACTCAATTGAATCTAAAATGAAATAGACAATTATCATTTTTTATACTCAAATATTTATTTTAATATTCTACCTCTTTCATACAGACAATCGATCCTGTTGCACAATTAATAGCTCGAAAAGCAACACCCGCACCACCTTGTCCAATTCGAGTTCCTCTACGCCATGGAAAGTCAATTTGACGTCTATCAAGCGTAGCTGTAGGATCATAAACTAAATTATTTCCCATTGTATATACTTTTCCAATAATTTTTCGCTGTCTTAATTTTTCATCAATTTCTTCATCTCGTTTTTTTACATTTTCATTAATACGTTTCATAGGCGATAATGTTAATGATGATGTTTCCATTATTTGACCACTTATAGGTTTGTGATGTCCTATTTTTGACAAAACATATATATATATATAGTGATTAGTTAATTGAAAATAATCTATAGCATAATATGACTAACCTGTAGTTCGTTGTCGAGAATATGGTGATGGATAACTAACAGAATTAGAACGAGCTAAAAAACATATAAATATAAACTATGAGAAGATATGAAGAAAAACGAAGGTAATTTACTCTAAAAAGTATTTACCGTTACTATTAGCTGTGGTGCTCGAATCAGTATCATAATCAAATAAGGAGTTGAATGCTGTCGACATTTCTGTTGTTAAACGTTTGTAATCGTCTGTCTCTAACAATTCCAAGTGTAATGGTTTGGCCAAAAATTGAACAAATATAATACCCGGTCTGGCCCATTTTGGTCTAAGAAAAAAAAAGAAAAAAAAAGAAATCGAGTAAAAAAATAACAATATATGCCATTTTTATTACTAACCTTAACACTTTACTCTTTGCAATTTTTTGTGTAAATTTTTTCGTAAATTTACACCATTCACAAAAAAATTCATTCATATGAACTATATAACTTTTCAAATATTTTGTTGTTGTTAGAGAATATAATAATCTATATAATTCAAAACATGAATTATAAATATACATAATTGTATCCATTAGTTTTGATTCGATTGTTCGTGATCGTGATGTTGTCGAATTTTGATCCCATATTTTATCTAATATTTTAACAACATCAACAAATTTTAAACTTAATTGATCAATATCATCCTAGAATATGATAAATCGTATAATTAAAATACAATATTATTCTTATTATTCATCTTTCATTTACCGGAAATTTATCTAACATTTCTCGTACATGATCATCTCGACCGATTTTTTTTACACATTCAGTTGATGAATTACAGCCTTCAAAATGAGATGAAAATGTTGATACAGCATTCTCCCATTGATCAGAACGAGTTACAACCAAATGTAAACAATTGGGCTAAAAAATATAGAATAGAATGGATATTTGATATACACATATTAGAATTATATAAAAAATACCTCATCAAAATTTAGTGCTAGTTCGGTACTAGGACTCGAATGAACAAGAACAATATCAGATTCCCATTTCGATGGATTATGTGGAATATTTTTCTTTGGTATAAATAGCATATACGCAGGCGATGTTGATTGTTGTTCACTTTCAGTTGATTTTAATTGAGTTTTTGACATTTTTGGCCGTTTTTCATCAACATTTAGTGGTGGTTGACTACATCGACAATTGAGTAATTGTTCAACTTGATTTTTATCGTGTGCAATATATTTTGGAACAAATAAAACAAAATTTTCAAAATCACTTGTAGCCTACAAATAAAATAAGGTGACAAATATATGGTTAAAATGAAAATGGATGCCAGTTTGCGCAAGTCAAGTTAAAATTGACTTGATTTGATGAAATTTTTTAATGACTTATGACTCGACTTGACTTGTAATTTGATCTGAAAAATCAAGCCAACTCATTCACTAAGAAAATCAGATTTTTGTGACGAATTTTAGAGTAAAATATATCATTAGATTGGGAATTTTAATAAGATTTTCTATATTTGTTCAGTTGTCAAAAAGAACGTCAGTAAAATGTAAAACTGTATTGAATAGACGAAAACTCACTCCATTATTTCCACATTCAATTTTGACTTGTGCATACGAATGTTCATGTAATTTTTCCCATAATTCAGAATAATTATTGCAGTAGAATTCGGCAGCAATTGAAAAATCCTACGATAGAAATGCGAACATAATTTTTAAAATGAAGCATGCAAAAAAATTCTAACTTCAGATTATGTGATCCTTGACAGTTAGCTATAACTTTTTCGAAGATAAATTGTAAGTGAAAGTTTTTAAATAATGTATACTATTACGAATAGACAAGATAACTTCTCTATTTTATACAATTCTATGCTAATACTACATAATAATACTATGCAGGAATAAGAAATGAAAGTGGTCTCAAAAGTTATCAGATGTTATACAAAATGTTATTGGCTAACACATGTCAAATGTCTCGTTTGAACGTATCATTTATCAGCCGTTTACGCGCCAATAATCGTTCATTAATGTTGGTTATGGAGAAGAACTTCATACACTAGACCCAAAAAGATGTCTCACAGTGGACATAATCAACATGAACAAGGAAAGGAAAAGGATCGGTGGAGTAAAGAAGAAAATGAATCTAATAGAAAATTTCGTTCTATTGAGAACAAACGAAAGCAAAAGTTATTTTTATCAAGAAAAGGGTTGGATCAATCTTTGATAGCCACTACAACAGTTCAATCTGTATTTTCAATCATTTATTTATCTACAACTACTAATTTTAATAAACATACAATTACTGTTGATAATGATTTAGATTCAATAGTCACTACAACAGAACCATTCACAGATATTCTTACTATATGTGATTACTCTATTGTAACAATTTTACTCTATTGTCTAATTAGTTCATTATGCACTCTATTATTATTATTTATCGTTTATTATTTGTGTAATTCGCGTAACGGAAAATTATATAATTTATTAAAAAAACGTCACTATTTTAAGGCCGATAATTGGTGGCGAAATATTTCCTCGGATAAACAACTGTTTGATATGAATAAAATACAAAATAGTTTTAACTCATTATCTTCATCAAGAATGTCAAAACAATCAATGTCATTATTGGAAAAACCATCAAATGAGCTAATTAGTTTCGATACAATGGCAATCACAGCTGAACAAAGTAAGAATGATGATACGTTTAAAAAGAGTGTATTGAAAAAATCAATATTTTGCAAGACGAAAACAGACTCGGAAACGAGTCTATTTCATTTAGATAAAATTAGTCAAATAAATTTAAAGAGAGACTCTGGAAATCTCTAACTATTCTAAACGATAACGAATAGAAAAATGACAAAACAGTTGAATGTACATTGATAGTAGTAAACTATTTTCATGTCAAGGCTCGATCTAATTAGATAATTTACATACATCAATAATTGTTTTTGCCAATGGGAACGCATGGTTTGCACGTTGTCGTATTATTTCAAATTTTTTTCGAAATTCACGTGTACTCTTAATAATTGCTGATCTAAACGATAAGAAAGAAATTATATATGTTTTCTATTACATATCTATTAACGTATACTTTTTCTGTTGTGATATATCGCCAGTATGAGATGCATCACCATCTGGTTCATCTCGCGACGTATTAAAACTTAATGTTCTCAAATTTGGTCGATCACTCACTTCACCAAAGGGTCTAAGAGAGAAACAAAAAAAACAATTAATATATTTAATATATTGTTCATCAAATATTTACTTACTCAAGAGAAATCATCATATCTCCGTTTGTATCAAATGCTTGATAATATTTTTCTGTTATGTCATTTAATTCTTCTTTCAATTGTGTAAATATTCTTTGAACAAGAAAACAAAAAAGATTTCCTAATGATCGTATTTCCGTTTGATTTCCCAATGTTAATGTGACATCTCGTGCAAAATAATATTCTTTTTCAAGTTCGGATGTTTCTTCATCAACATAATAATATAAATTATTATCATCATTTTTTTCATCAGTAAAACAACGATTATCACATACAGTAACAAGAAAACGTTTATAATGTGCATAGATATCGGTTATAGCCGTATCATAATCATGTAATTCTCTTGCAATAGAATGATTTGGTAAAAATTGTTCAACCATACGAATACAATACAATCGAATTGCTAGTGCATCACGTAAAATTAATTTTGATTCATGTACCAATTGTTGTCGACATAGAGAATCTAATAAGCTGCTTGAACTCGTTGCATAAGGTTGATTATAGAGCAGAAGACATTCGTGCATAACATCAAGTAATACATTGACAATAAAAAAGTATAATGGTAACAATGGTGGTAAACCAAGTTGATGATGAAAATCAAGCCAGTTTTCTCGCAATATTTCATCCATATATTGACATATACTTTTGACTGGTTGACACGATTTTAACATATTAAATACCCATTTTTCAATTGTTGTATCAAAACGTGATGATGTTTCAGAAGGATTTACCATTGTAGCTGTAACATCTGTATCGATGATACTATTTTCATTGTCGGTTTCTTCATCATTCGTATCTTCAGTCTTTACATTTTTGGTTGTTGTTGAAGATGGAAGAAATGTTAATGGTAAACCAGCTAGTACCTAAAATAGAAAGATAATAATAAGCATGATTGTCGTAGACTATTTTGTTCAATATGTACAAACCTGCTCAATTTTCACTTTTTGTCTGTCTGGTGCTTGTAATAATGCTAAACGCCTAAAAAATAAATGTTTAAAGTATATATTGCAGGACAAGGATTAAGTTTTGTCTTACGTCTTTGCTAGAACTGGTGCTACTCTTGTCAACAATGTACTTGCCAGACCATCATATTTTACTTGATATGAACGTTTGTCCATATAATAAACAAAATTCCTTTTTATAGAGAAAAAAGAACATAATTATTTGAACATGAACAGTGTAGTAAAATGTACTTATAACACGCTGATCGATCTAATGGTTGTGTTGATTCTTCTACAAACGAAGTCTGCTCTGAAACTACAAGAGAAGACACAAAAGAGAATAGAAAGGAATAGGCAATAAATTTCAAATATATTATACCATGTCTTGGTAAGTGTTTTGATAATTCATTTGTATCTGGCCAACGATTCTAGAAACAAAGAAAAGAGGAACTAAGATCGATTGTACTAGCAAAGTTCGTTTAAATGGAAAATTACCCTCGGATAAACATCATCGAATACAACTTTTTTCTCTGTACGTGGTTTCTCCTCTTTATCTTCAGTATCCTTTGTGAGTTCTGATTCATTACTATTCTCGTCTTCCTCTTCATCGTCCGTTGTTGAATACTCAACGCCTCCATCAATAATTTTTTGGCGTTCTTTCTCTGTTGTAATTGATCGAAATCTTAATTTTGGCCAATCATCACATTCATCACATCGTAGTAGACCGGCTAATTTTTTAACTGATACCGTTAATTCATAATATAAATTATACCAGACAAACAATGCTTCTAAACGTCGATTAGTCAAATCTATACCTTGACTATACTCTGTATGTTTTAAACAATCAATAATGTGTCGTTTATCAGCTTTGTCAAAAAATTTTGTCAATTCTTCTTCGGTTTTTACACAATCTTCAACATAATCTGTTTGTAGCGTACGAAAATAACGTAATGGATTTTCTTTATATTTTGTTGCTTCCTCCACAGATTCTGTACTATTTAAACGCAAAAATATCGGTGACGATGTTGTTGAGTCACCTTCTCCACTTGCCACATTGCCATCACCGGCTAAAAATTAAATTCGATGTTACTTTGATAATATTTTACTTTTTCACTTTTTGACATAGATAAAGATAGTATTGACCAAAAATATTTTTCCTGTACTTACTTGATGATGTTCGAATCTCTCCTGATTCATCTTCACCATTTCCATTAGAACAATTTGTTAATGGCATTGTAATATTGTCCGTAAGAAAAGCATAATGATAACTACTTGAAAAATTTAAATTATTCATGTCGTCAATAAATTTTTTTATTTCATTCTTACTACATCGTTTTCGAATAGGATTTACCTTGATATACTCATATAATTTTTTATAGAAATTTTCTCTTGGATAATTATTAATGTTAAAATTATTCAATAATGAATTCATTACTTGCAGATGTTCAGTAAGAGAGATAGGTATAGTTTTAGTTATTTCACAAGTATTCGCTTCTTCGACTATTGTTTTTGTTATATTTTTAGTTAACGAGTTGTTTCGATCATGCGTATAAAATAAATTTATAGTATTATTATTATTCATATTTTGATATAAATTTTTTCGACGACGACGCATCTTTGTTGGTACATATCGACTAAAATGTAAGGATGAATATGTTGTTGAGTCATTTCCATATGACATAAATAAATTTTTGTCTTGTGCTTCATTTAATAATTCTGTTTGACTTCCATTTTGTGTCGAATTATGTAGTAATACACTCGAGTCAGATCGTGTCGATCTTACCGACGTATGACTTCTATCCAAATCATCCGATTCGTTAATAGATGATTGAACATTTCGACATTGAGTTATAGGTAATGAAGAAAAGTGATGTTCATCATTACTGCTTACATACAACTTCTGGAATGCTGATTGCACTTGTTCATGTGACTGTTGTTGGGAATCAAGAGGATCAGATTCTGCTCGATAAATAAACTCTTTGGCTTTATTCGATAATTTTGTTTTAGGTGAATGAGAACGAGCGGTACAAAACTAAACACATATATTCATTCACGTTATTTTAAAATATTCGTTGTTTAAAATACTTACTTCAATTGATTTTCCAGTGTCAATTTCACTTTGTATCAGTAAGTTGTTATCTTTTGGGCATTGTTGAGGATATGTGCCTCCAATTCGTGCACCGACTTCCAGTAAACTACATAACTGAGTAAATGCTAGTTGACGAAGATCAAGTGGTGGACATTCAACTGGCGTTGGTTCTTGTTCATACTTTTTCATTTCAGTTGATCCTTTAGAATCTCGTCGAACATCCTAAAAGCACTATTCAAGTTAGCAGCAAATCTTAGAGACATCAATAAGTTACCTTTATATTAGAGATGCGTTGTTGATGTGGCTTTTGTCGATGCGTAGGCTTTTCACCGGTTGATGATGTATCCGATGATTGACTTGTCGTTGAATGATGTTTTGATATGGATAATGATTTATGTTGTTGTAGCATTGGTACTTCACTTAAGGTTATTGGCCAATTTTGTTTTTGTTTTTCTAATCCAACTCTTTTTTCTTCCATTTCTTGAGCATCTTCAATTATACTCGGATTCGTTTCTGATAAACTCGTAGCGATATTCGATGAAAGACGAGAATTACCCGAACAATCAGACAAATAGGAAAAAATACGACTTCCTGATGATAACAATGATGATGTTGTCGATGGAATAGACAGAAATTTATGGTTATTAGAATGATGCCCAGTGTTTTTAAGTGAATTTGCTGTACTTGGGCTGCTAAAAACATTATCGGATATATGTGATTGGTGGGTATCCATGACGTGTCTGTTATTATTCGCAGACAAAGAATGTGTCATTTTTAAACTAGGTGAGCGAAGTAGTTTTTTTGAAGTTGAAGTAGATTTTTGAACAAAATGTGACTTCGAACGTTGAAAATTCGATGGATTAGAATTGTTACCATGTGACCGAGATAATTGTTTCTGTTCAATTTTCTCACTAGTAGTTGATATCGGATAAGGAAATGTTGTAAACGACTTTTTAGGACTTCTTCCTTCAAGCACAAATGGTTCATCATACGTATTATCAGAGTCTATTGGAGGATGATCGTGATATGAACGCTTATCATTTTCGCCAACGGTTTCAGATTCATCTGATTCACAAATAGGTAAAAATGTTAAATCGACACTAGCAGTTTGTGGTTCAGGAGATTTTTTTGGTGTTGATGTTGTTAAATCCTTCATTTTATGCAAAGCTTCTCCAATAAGATCATCAGCCTCATTCAGTTCGACAGTTAGTCGTGTTTCATCGTCAAGTAAAGGAAATGATAAACTTCTTGGTAATGGATGTTGATCAAGTAATGATTGCGTCATTGAAGACGATGAAGAATTTGTTTGTGAAAATAATTGTTTCGATGTGTTTGAAATCTCTCTCTCACATATCGTTGATTCGCGTGATCTTTGAGTCTCGTTATCGACAAAATCATCGTTGTCTGTTGTAGTACTTGAACATACTGAAATCTTATCGAATTGACTGTGAACGACTGATGATACTGCGGCGGTTGTCATTGGAGGATCGAGTTCAGGAGGAAGTGATGGAGAACGATCAAGAGGAATAATATCCTTTGTCAAGTTTGTATGTTCAATCGTTGTACTCTGAACCCACGCATCAATCGCAGTCTCGTCTAGATGTATGTGTTCATTACTTTTTGATAATGAATGAATGTCATTTACGTTTGACAATGTTATTTTTGATGACAATGACGTCAGTGATATGTCTTTATTTGAACGATCTGACGAAAAATTACGCTTTTTGTCATTTTTTTCGCGTATTTGAGAGACAATTTGACAAAGTTCAGAAACATTTGAATGAGATTTTGTCTCTTTATCTTTTACAACAAATGGCGAATCGATACTGTCCTCCATTGTATCTATAATTGGCGAGGCATAGATTTCATTATCATCATCGTCTACAGGTTGAAACAGTTGCGAGGAAGTCATCAATGTCATTGGATTGACCTGAAGACAATAATTTGCAGTTGAATTATTGTCTTGTTCATCAATCGTCTCATCACGTGACTGAACAAGTTTTGGTGAATGATCGGAAGTTTTAAGTGGTGTCTGTATGAGATTATTATCAGTCGTATTGTCCAAGGGTGATGATTGAAGAGGTACAGACATTCTGACTCTAAAACATCCAAAGCAAATGGTTAGTCCAAAAACGAGACTTTATAAATGTACGAAGACTATTCAGGTTAATATGTATTTGAGTAAATCTGTATATCTAAATCCAATGTCTCTGTCACTTAATGGAAAAATTGATGGTTTTATGGAGTTACACAGCCTGCGCTTTTGGAGAGTTAACGCATAAATCCAAAGTCTAACAATTTCTGCAGTGTAAATCACTAATCTTATTTAAAGTTTAAAAATATTATGAAACAGACGAAAAAAACCAGCAGACACTATATGGTCAAATACATCAGAACAGATCTTGATCTAATGAAAAATCTCTACTTTTAATCCAGTACCATACGTGAAGTTTATCAGAAAATTATACTTCAAATCCTTTGTTGATTACTTGTAAAAAAACCGGATAAAACCGATGTTTTTTATTTCGAACGTAAAACAGTTTCAAGTTTAACATGCAGACAATAAATGTAATAAGAAAACAAAACAGGTGACATTTTAAAATTTTTTTTCAAAAATAAAACGAAATACGGTGACAAACATATAAATAGTGTTTAACACCGGGCATGTTCCATATAAACATTTTACTATATACTGTTCTTCGTTCGATCTATGGTCTACAACGTCCAATAAATCTAGGATAAAAACATACATCTCGAATATGATGACGATTTGTTAACCATGTCATAAAACGATCTAAACCAAGTCCATAACCGCCATGTGGAAATGTACCATATTTGCGCTACAATAATTAAAATATCGTACTAAATATAGAATATTTATGAACTAAACTTTATCATCATACCTGATCAAGATACCAATAATATGGTTCTAGTGAAAGTCCATTTTTACGAAAACTTTCGCTCAGTTCTTCAAGATCTGTCATCCTCATAGATCCACCAACAATTTCTCCAACACCGGGCATTAATACATCAACCTAAACACAAGAAAAAAAGACTAATAAGGAAAAGCGAAGGAAAAAGCGCAAAATTAATAGAAATTTGATAAATCAAAGTAAAAATAAAGTGAGAGTTGATCACATTATAGCAAAACTAACCGATTCTGTAAGACGATTATCATTCGGATCTCGTTTCATGTAGAACGATTTTATTTCAGCTGGAAATCGACAAAACAGTATTGGCTCATTTATTTCATCGGTCATTTTACGTTCAGGTAATTCAGGAATATCCTAATAAGAAAAATATAGCATGTCGAACAACAATAGTAAAAAGTTAATTTCTTTTTCGTACATCGCCAAATTCATAAAATTTTCCCTCTTCATTTTTAATGTCATGTTGTTTCAAGTATTCAATGCCATCAGTATAATTCATACGTTTAAATGGTTTTTTTGGTGCTTTAAACGTCTGTGAAAAGAAAAAATATCGAATAAAATTACTACGCCTTCTTTTGATAACAACATACTGGATTAACTTCGAATAAAAGATGAGATTCTGGATGTTTCAATACACGATCAACAACATCAACAACAAGATCTTCTATACGATCGAGAAGATCATTAAAATCAATGAATGGGCATTCGCCTTCAACATGAGTGTATCTAAAAAGGAATATTCACTGTTAACATGCATTTTTTAAAATAAAAATGCTCGATAAAAACTGACTCGGCTAAATGGCGTCTTGTTCTTGACTGTTCAGCACGATAGGACTGTGCAATACAAAACACATCACCGAGGGCTAGATGAAGAAATAAAATAATAATATTAAAAACTGTCGTCGAAATTGAAAATAATATTTACATGCACACGCAGTTTCCAAATATAACTGGGATGATTGAGTCAGATAAGCTCGTTCACCAAAATAATTTAATCCAAACAATGTTGAACCACCTTCCACTTGCGTTTGTACTAATGTTGGAGGAAATGTCTAAACGAAAAAAAGAATCTTAAACAATAAATAATAGAAGTGAAAATTAAGCATAACGTACTTCATAGTAACCATTACCGAAATAATGGTCTCGAAAACATTGTGTGACAATTGATCGAAGACGTAATATCTTTGATGTCTTTAAAAGAAGAAAAATAATAATTACCCAAGATCAAAATGACAATTAATTTACATTTTCTCCACGAATCATCATGTGTCGATTATCTAATTGTACATCTGGATGAGACTCCTAGAAATAGAAAATATACGTGTTCATTCGTCTGAATTAACATTGAATCTTATCCATCTACCTCGTTAAGCAATGTATCAGCACCTCCGGCTGGCGAATGACCAACTACTTCGAAATAATCGGTTATTAATTCTTGATTGCCAGGTGCACTTTTTCCCTCTGGTACAGGTTGAACCACACCATAAATGAGAACAGTTGCTTCTGTAGATAAAATGACCGCATCATACGTGTGACACTACAAAATTAGCCAAAATTTTAATAGAAATAACGATAGATAGCACATTGAGAGCAAAACGTACAAGATTATCACTTAGAACACACTGTAAAAATCCAGTCCCATCACGTAAAGTAATAAACATCAGACTCTTTCCTAAAGTGCAATAGTATATTTGACGTTAAAAATTCTTTCGAGAAGAGCTTCTTGATCGTTACCTTGACGTCTAAGACGATGAACCCATCCATACACTTTCACTCGTTCACCATAGCGTTTTTGAACATCTTTAATTTTTGACTATCAAACAAAAATAGTTTAAAAGTATGAAGAAAACAATGGCCACACAAGACATACCACAACTGCTTTCGGCAATTTTTCATCCTCCTTAATTACAAACTTTTTAGAGTCTTCCAAATTTTTTTCTCGTCTTTCTGCATCTTCACGCTAGAACAAAGTGCAGAGGCTATTTAGTAATCAACATGTTTGTCAGTTGAATACAAACCTCACGTTGAGCATGTCTGTCTTGTTTTCTTTTCTCTTCTTCATAAGTTTTTTTTTGGTTTTTCAACTGTGTTTTTGAAATTTCCTCCCATTTACCCTAGAAGTAAACATAAGAAAACATGTTGGAACTTATAAGTACATTCGACAACTTACTTTTGTTTCATCCTTAGAATCAACGTAAATAATGTATTCGTCATCACCGGTGTGTTTCCTCAATGCCTAAACGAGCAGCGAACATTTTTATTTCCCTATAGTAAACTTATTTTCCAACTTTTAATCTCTTACTTGCAAAATAGTTTTGAATGGTTTTGACTCTGTACCATCTCCTTGTTCATCGCTTCCATGCTTTTCAGAAGTGTATATTCCTGATCCTAAAACACAAATGCTAAATATAGGGCACAAGAACTAAAACTTCTGTGAACAAAGGAGAAAAAGGGCTTGGAAACATAAAAGCGTTTTGACTTAGGATGAGGTCGACAGTGTCTTAGTTTTCATAAATTATATCTTCAATAAACGTACGTAACGAGCACGCCTGTATTTTTGTAGTCGTTTCTTCGGTTGTCATTATCGCTAAGCGAGAGAAGTGTTGTGTCTCGTGTTATAATCTCTAAAATTTAGAACAAGTACAAATGAGATGCTACAAAGAAAGGGTTACAACAAATGCTCGACAAGAAATTCATTCAACTAAAGAGGTACGGATACAGATATACACAGCCGACTCATAATGAGAAAAAGATCAATTTCTAGTCAAACGAAACATCAAGTTTCTTTTATCTACTGTGAAAGTTACGAACATTGCATCATCAATCTCATTCCTCTCATCAGTACACAAGCACACTTACATCATGTAATTGTCTCCTATCAGAATTTCTCACGGGGTATCAAATAGATTCATTAGTTTTTAGCATTGTTGGTTTTTAGAGAAATATAGCCACATTCGTTGTGATTAAATGTAATTAGCAGAACTAAACTATTATGAGGATAACTATCGTTAACTTAAATGATTTAAGCACTTGTTCTCGTATGTATACGTTGGATTGTTTGGAAAACAAAAATGATGCAATTTTATTAGTCTTTGCTCTTCTGAGACGATTAATTTTCATGCAATGTTTTTCATTATGGTTAAGCCGCTTGTGGCAACAGCTGAATCCATCATCAAATTCAGATGTGCATTGTCCATTATTAAAAATAAACGGATAGACAAAATACCGAGAGACAGAAATTAACATACAAAGATGATCCTCGCCAACGAAATACGATTATCAGTCAGTTAACCAATCGCATACTCAACTGGCTTATTAATCAGCAGACTAAAACGACATCTATTTGGATATGGATGCTTATATAGTAATAAATAAATAAATAAATTTGACTCAAGCAAATTAGAGCAACTTTTTCTTTCATCTAAACATAGAGCTCGTTCATACTACAAAATTCCCAGGGTATTATAAAATAGTTGTCTGTGTGTGTGTCTGTGAAAAATAGAAAGTTCTATTTTACACGAGAGAGAAAATATTCAAAGAGATGACTGAAATAATATTTACTGATACAGAGAGGTAAAAAGCTAAGCACGCTTTTTCTGTAGTTGGGAGATAGATGTCGCCGTAGATCAATTAGTTTTGATAACATAAAAACAAGCCATTTACTAAGCTGGTTAGTTTTCGATCACCATCTCTCACAAATATCATTGTTTTGTTTTTATGTTTTTCAAAATGATTTCAACTCTCTTCGTAAATAATGAAGTATAACGAACTCTAAATTCATGTTGTTGGAGCAAACAGCATTGTTTCTATACGAGAAACGTAGACTTGTATGTCTACTACTACCTCTAAGAAAACTGAAACGCGTTGTCGAAAACAAATGAAAAGCCCTAGACACCCTGAGGTGTCATTTTTCCACCATCCGTATTTATATACACAGTTTCTCGTCGCAACGTAATAAAGAAAGTGAACAGTTTTTCGAGTGCTGTTATTTAAAAGAGTTCTGGTACTTCCGACGCGCTCCTCGGGTTTCTTTAAAATGAGAGTTTTCGGAATTCGATTACTTTTGTCTACGATCGTGGTATCGAGTTTTCATTTCGTATATCGTTAGATTTCACCAAAGATCCTTCACTTCAAAGTACTAGGAAAAGGACAACAACTTGAACGCGCTCTGGCCAAACGATCAGTCTGGTTTGTGAAGATTGTTTTTTTACCAATAGAGTGTTTTGGTTACAACTTGTTTCACCATAAGAACTGAAGACGTGCAGTTTTCACCATTAATCTCCGAGTAGAAAACTGAATCAGGAAAAGTAGCTTTCGTCATTTAGGTATATAGACTTTGTATAATTGGTAGTCCCAATGGGATGAGTTACGGTGGATTCTCACTTTTCTTTCCGGCATCGCCAAAGCAATAAGATGTATCAACAAACACTTCTCTTTTTTTGTCAAATAGTTCAGAGGTTGTTTATAAGCTCTATCACAAATATCATTTTTTTGTTTTATGTTTTCCAAAGTGATTTCAACTCTCCTCGTGAATTATGAAGTACAAAGAACTCTAAATTCATGTTGTTAGAGCCAACAGCATGTTTCTATACGAGAAACGCATACTTGTATGTCTAATAGACGGTGTTTCATATTTAACTTGAAGAAGATAAAATTTCAAGTTTTTCTAATAATTTTTTCATCCTTGTATATTCCCTTGATTTTAGTCCAGAGTATTACAAAATGATTGTCTGTGTGTGTGTCTGTGCGCAAAATACGGAAAAATGTCTGATGGATATTCCATGGATAAGCCAATCACAACCACAAGAGAGATAGAAGATAGAATACCCTTCAAAGTTTTATCATTTACATTTGTTGCTACAGGCCTACTATACTAGCTTTCCAACCTTTTTGCCGTCTATTTATCTAATAAATGACGGCTGTATTCAATTTGCTTTCCTTTAAGTAGTGAAAAACCGAGTTTTATTGTTGAGTAATCAGGTATCTAACATATTGAAATTCGCCGAGCATTTTCCATAAATAAATTTACGTGTTTTCTCATCAGTGTCGCTTGATTTGTTTTTTTATATGAAATTAGATAAAAATAATAGTTAGCTGTGATCATACTGAATACAATGAAATAAAACAGTATTTTATAATTTTTGCATTATTTCTTGTTTTGAAGGATCAGCCAGCCGCCGAAAGCTCTGCTCTATAAAAAAAAATTCCAGTGTGGCACTCCCAGTGCGCATGGCATACAATCGGTCACTGGCACTGGCTAGCACCGGTGCGCACCCGTGCCCAGTTATAGCATCCGCGTAGTAACGAAGTCCAGCATGTGTGGCTTCATAGAGTCCGAATAATCCTTTGATTCTTTTGTACTAATTGTTGGAATACCACTAAATTTCCCTTCTCTTTACATCTTTTATTTAGATATTTTATTTACAATTCAAAATACCGTCTTATCTGGGATAGTGGCCAGCTTTCAAGCCGTTTGACGGCCAACACACAACGCTCTCCCGGGATGTGAATATGGCTCATTGTTCAAAAACCGATAGTTGAAAATTTCAATGGTACGACCATTCAAACGCCATCCAAACGTCCATGGAAAAGAAATATAGTGTTTTGGCTATGTTATTTTATTTTGGCTCTTATTTTGATCAAATGCTTTCAAAGATGTGTGTATGGCAGGCATTTGTAACGGGTTGGAACTATTATGCAACTGAGAACCGTAACCCTATAAAAAAATTCCAGTGCGGCACTGCCAGTGTGCACCGGTGCGCATGGCATGCCATCGGTCATTGGCACTGGCTGGTACCGGTACGCACCCGTGCCCAGCAAGTGCCGAACCGGTGCTGATATCTTTCTGCTGAAAGAGTGCCGCACTACTAAAAGTCAGTGCCGCATGGGTGCCGCACTGGCAAAAATCAGTGCCGCATGGGTGCTGCACTAACAAAAATCGGTGCCGCACTGATAATTTATTTAATCAATTTATTTAGTTCTTTATTATGGTTGTTTATGCTGAATTTTGTGTTAGAGTGCGGCACTGATCAGTACCACATCGACATGCCAAAACCATGCGGCATTGCCTCGGCAC